CGGCAAATTTGGGAGGGGGGGGGGGTGGCCCCGTACTCGTACTACAGAGAATCGTCAATTGTTCGGGGGGGAACCCCCTATATTCAAGGGGGTGCCACATTAGGTAAAAAGACTTAGTGCAGCTGCCCCTATGCGCCGTTCAACTTGCTGCTGCTCATCGGCGTTTCTTTACAGTTTGAACATACATGCTCAGGATCAGTTCCAGCCGACCTCGTCTGACGGGCAGTACCGAAGACCTACATGCAGGGCAGAGATACTTTTGAATCCACAAGCGTCAAGCGCAAGCATATGCATTTGCAGCTAAGCTTTAGCATGTTTTGTTTGGCTCGAGTTGGATTTTTGAGTTTGTTCCAGGGCAGGGCCACCCGAGACAAAGTGTCTCAGTGGCGCTAGACCGCTAGACCAACGCGTCTATCCCAGGATCTGAGGGCAGGATGCCCGGGTCCAGTTGCACGAAGCTGTGGCAACAAAGAAGGTTCTCAACTACAATACGGTGCATGCCAGCTTTATGAAATTTCAGGACATCCATTTCTGATTCATGCCAATCTTAAGTTGCAGCAGCTTTTTGTGGTCAGAGGGCCGCATTAAATCCAAAACTGTTGAGGGCTCAGGTCCTGAGTCCTCCGTGAGTAAGCTTACATATCACGCTCTTGGATTTAAATCGTCACGAATACACAAAGCCAGACAAAATGGACGGAAATGGGCATCCATTCAACAAAGCAGGCGCAAGAAGATGCAGTCATGATACTCGTAGCTCTCTTCAGAGCGACCTGGAGGAACATCCGGGACTCGGGTCTTAAAACTTGGCTTGTGGGGCTCCTATCGCAACCCACAAGCCGAGGACAAAGGGCCATCAACGAAAGCGGAAACAGAGCGCAGGATCTTCCATGTTTGAGACTTCATGAGGCACCTTAAGCTGGGCAGCACATGCTTTGCGTTCGCGCGCTCCTGGCATGCTGTGGCCCCACACTACTGGGCAGCGGGCTAGGGTGGACAGGACTAGCTGCTAGACATGGTCTACTGTACTTGAACTTGAAGCAGCTATCGTTGAGGCCGACTGTTCCTACCAAGACAGTCACTTTGCCTTAGGTTTCAGAGACTGAAATTCAAGATTTGCCTCACAGAACGCAGGGCATTATGTGCAATTACCTCTGGGTGCAGATGGACTGTTGGAAATGCTGGAAGTCTGTCAGTCCATGTACAAGATTACCTGACAGGAGCAAAGTTAGGCCCAAATCCCTCTTCTGCTGCCAGCTGCCAACAACCCTCCAACAGCCACACGTTTCCCACGCCTATCCACAAGACAGTGTGAACACCTGCAGGTGGCGAACCAGCTTTTCTGCCACCTGACGTCGAAGCAGGTCGAAGCAGGCTAGCAGCCTCAAGGAGGGTCGCAACAATAAACCCTACTCAGCCCTTCGTGGACATCCAGCTAGGGAGAGCGAAGTGCCCCAGCATGGTAGGCACCCTTCCGATAGGACTATCGATTGCAAAGGTGTGTAATGTGAGTCTACATCGTATGACGTGTACCTGGTGTTGCACGGCTTTATGGAAGCCAAGCTGCTGCCTTGGGAGAAGCAGTCTCATGCGGCTCCGCCGTTTTCGGCCCAAGACTTTAAACATCATGGCAATTCGATAGTGTAGATTGCTTGTCACCATTCGAGCCCGTGTATCACTGAGCTGCTTCCACGCAGCTTCTTCCAGGACTGGCCAGCTGCAAAGGCTTGATGGCATGCATATTTCGCCGATGCCCTCCTGAGAATGTGTCATGCATTTTCCGGATGCTAGGACAAACGACGCAGCTGCGGAAAAGGCCCTGACACTGAATTGAATTTGTTGAGAAGAGCCTTTTCTCGGCTTGTCAGCCCGCGCCGCTTGGCCCCCCCAAGCACATTCCCCATCGAGATGGCAGTAGTAATCCCTGAATGCAAGATTCCGCTCGGAAGCTCGACACAATTGCTGAATGTTCCCCAGCATTCAGGGTTGTTTTTTGCAGAGTTCTTCCGGTGGACGTGATTTGCCAGGAAAATATTCCAAACAAGAAACCTCCATTTATTGTATGTCAGCCCACATGACCTCCATTTATTGTATGTCAGCCCACATGACTTGTCGGCAGGCTGAAGCTGCAGCGAGAAACTGCACATGTCTGTTGCTGACGCTGGATATCCAAAGGATGCTGGGCGTGCAGTCGAACTTTTCCAGGATTCCTTCAACCAAGATTTGCGAGTTAGGCTTGACATCTCATATGTAGATAGACTCGTAAGAGATTGCTTCCCCTCAAGTTGACAGCTCAGGATGTGCTCAGCGAGACCCGAAAGTATCAGCGACCAGGCCCAGGCGCTCCAATAAGCAGCATTTTTGCAGATGTTTGGGAAGCAATAGTTCAGATGCCTGAGGATGCGCTGAGCAACACTCTGACCTGACAGCTTTGGGTCTTTTGCAGGCGGCCGGGTGAAAGACTCCATCACGCCCGCACCCGGGCGTCTGGATGACTCTGTGGATGTCCTGGGAGAAACGAAGGTGTGTGTCTTAATTGGGAGGCAGCAACAGGGCCTCACTCCGGCAGGTATTACAGCCCACAATGGCACCAGAATGCCAGAAGTGCTCATACTGTAGCCTCCTGAAAAACCCTTCCTGCGCTGCAGGTAGTGGATCGGAGAGCATTCCCGGGCACAGATCGAGATGATCCGTGCTCCGGCTTAATTGAAGAAACTTAAATGTGGGGCTATAACTGTAGCCTGAATGCCCCTGAAAACCTGTGGCGTGTTCTTTGTTTAGCGATCCTTGGCGCGATCAGAAACAGTCAAACAAGCTGCTTCTACAATCCTGGGTAGAGCCAGGAGAACTTTCAGGAATATGCGACGGGATGCGAGGGTTCACTAAAATGAATATATGTCAAAGTGCAGTCGATGTGAGACTGATGCGCAGTGCAAGACTGGAATTCTTGCAGCGGGCACCTGCTCGTGCAACCCCGGAAACTGAGTTGGCAGCACCAGCTACCGAACGCAATTGTCATGCATTGATGGCAAAGCCAAGTTGCCCAAGCTTCAGGCCAGCGCCTGCTGCACCAAAAGCGCCCTGCGGTCGAATTTGTTCCGGGGAGCCATCGTTGTCAGGTAGACGGTCAAGTTCGGAGCTGATCCTTGGAGGGCTTATGTTGAGCTCAGCTTGTCGTTTATGGGCCTAATAAAAGCGGTAGAGGTGTCTCGTTTCACCTTGTTAGTAGTCCGTCCAAATTTGTGTATGTGCGAATGTGCATGCACATGCATGAGTGCACGTGCACATGATCCAAGTTCGAGTTAGCCCGTGGCTTTTCATTCGCCATTAGCGCCTAACTTGAAGTCGCTGCCAGCAAATAACAAGCCTTCGGGAAGCCTGTCTGCGGGCAAATGTCCATGGCGTCTTCTCATGAGTGGGCAACATGTGACATGGTGGCGCAGTCCCCAGCCGTGCAAGCAACAGCAAAGCAACACACCAGATCGCCTAGCAGCAGGTTCCACGCCATCCGTTGAACCAAGTGCCTGTGCCTCTCCCCTCCAAGCGCATCTAAGATGAACATGCGGGTGATTCTAGGAGCCCTTGTATTTGCCAGAATCAGAAATGAGGCCAGACATTGCCCCACATCGTGAGGGGCCAATCGCCTTCGGGCCAGATGGCCTGCCCTTGAAGGCCCTTTTTGGCGACACTTTGCAAGGGTGCACCTCAGTGTGCGGGCTGAAGTAGGGCACTGATTTCTTACACTGATTTGTGCTGGTGATGTTAGGTTTCTTATTTGCAACCTTGCGAGAACACCTCTCATGGCCTGCGTGGCGGCTGTCGTACTCGAGTCAGCTTGAGAGAGAGAGATTTGTGCTGGTGAGTCTGTTGCGGCACTATTCGGAGTCCGTTCCAAAAAGCGTGGTCCATCTTGTCTCCAATCTGAGGCTGAGGGCTTAAGTGCAACATGTAATTTGCAGGCTTGGGTAGAGCGCTCCCATTTTTCTGCCATCAGAGGGCATCTTTCCGCAGCCACCAGTCTTCGCAGACCAGGCTGTTGTGGCTATTGTACTGGCTGCCAGGGCTCGTGCCCAGACATGTCAAGCAGATAAAGTCACTCCAAAGGCTCAAAGCAGAACAGCCTTGCCAGAAAGATCCCTCGCACAGGAAGGGACTACCATGGAAGAGGATGAGGACCGCTCGTGGCTGCCGAAAAACTTGATAAGGATGCAGGTGTCCTTGCCTCAGGCTGCGAGCTGTTTGCAATCGCAGCCCCATTGCCACATTATTGACGGCAGACTAAACACTGTGAGCTTGCTTCCAATATATCAAAATCCCTGCAACACCAATTCCTCGCATCGATTGACGTTCATGATTACGTATTGTACAGGCAACAGCTTGAGGCCTAGATGGTGTCTAATCCTGCCACAGACTAGCCGTGTTACCACAGGAAGGCTACCTGAAGCCAAAGATGGAGGACCATCACAAGGCAAAATTGCATTGGACACTGGAAGGGTCATTTAGGCTTGGAGCTTCATGGTTGGAGCACTGTGCTTCTAATTTTACGTTTTCTGCTATCCTTTTGCCCTGGTACTGTATAAGGAGGTACGTGTCTTTTCCAGCTCTTGTGTGTAGCACCGGGAGGTGGAGATTCACGACCAGGGCTGGTTCCACGCAGAGAGCAATCGCTACGAGCAGGACAGCCCGCCACGACATCCAGACATAAGGGGCAAGAATGACACGCTGGCGTCTAGACTCCAAAGTTCACAACCACCATCTAGAGGTGATGAAGCTGTTTGATGGAGATGCTTTATGAACAGCGCTGCGCAGCAGTGACAGGGTGGGAATTCTATGATCATCCCAGATTTCACTGATGGCGTGTGATATTGTGTGCAGGCATCGCTGCTGCATTCTGTTCGTGTTCCGGCATCTGGCGTCCGCGCATATAAGCAGAAGCTGACAATCCACAGCCTGGATTGAATGACTTAAGCTTAAAAATTCACGCAAGGTTGGTTTCCTCGGCTTTGGCTGTTTCCTCGGCTTTGGCCGAACCAATTTCCGCAAGCCGATGAGTTGTAGTGGGTCAGCGAGCTGCTTGCACAAAAGATGTCAGCCGCGAAAGTGTCTCCATCGTATTCTCCAGGCAGATGTAGAGAGCAGTTACTGCGGCGTAGTGCCCCCTCTCTCCACAGCCAGGAGGAACTTGCGAAGGCACGCGTTGCCTGTGTCCTCATGCTCCATCAGCTTGAGCTTCCCTGCCAGCATCTAGAGGATGCAGTGAAGTAAGCAGCCTCAAGTTCAAGCCTGAAGCCCTGCAGATGCACATCGTCAGCATATGCGATGCCGTGCGTCAACGGCAGGCAAGGCATCATGCATTTGACTATGGGGCGTCCACCCTCTGTCTGCTCTGGCAATTAAAATGTTGTTCAACCTCACTAGCGTATACTGTACTGGATGCCGGCATCTAATGATGGACAAGGGGTGGGGAACATTTGGGACCCTTCACCTGTACGAGCTAGGTGCAGCAACGAATCAAACTTGGACTAGAAGCATCGTGGCTGACCCTCTTATAGGTAGGGCTGAAAGCTTAGTCCACAGTCCTTGCCGCCGATCTTATGTAGCTTCTTGTGTCTGTGTTCGCGAGGATTGCAAGAAAAGCATGCAAAAGCATGAATCAAACAGCTCACTTGTGTTTTGTGCCAATGCTTTTCAGTATATCTGTGAAGGGCCCCCACGCCAACCCTCCTGTGATTGACTGGCCAAGTCCCCACATGGAAAGTTTGTGTCAGGGAGTTGGACTATGCCGCGACGGGCGTTGGACCAACAGCGACCTGGCAGCCAGAGATTGTAAAGAGTGTGGCATCGAGTGCCAGCTCTGGATGCTATCTGCACTCAGCCTTGACAGCTGTCAGGCGCAGAAGGCACATTTGTTCAACGAAGCCCAACCAATTCTGGATTCGCAGCGTGATCCTCAGGCCCGCACGAGTTTCCCGACCTGGGCCTCACCGGCACAGTGCTGTCCAATGCCGCTTGGCCAGGGGAATGGCACGTATCTTGCATTTGGGAGGAACGTTTTAGAGATGAAGCGCTGTTTGTGAGTACGGTCTGTTCTGAGCTTGGATGTCACAAGATTGACGCCAGTTCTCTTATTGTGTGTATTTATAGCTTCCGCGAAAGAGAACGTTGGAAGGTCATCAAATGAAGGCATTTGAACACTCAACTTGGGATGAGAAGTAGTTCAGTGCTGCCTGGTCCTAGCATGCATTACTCAGCAAGGGAAGCGGAACTCTAAAGACTTTGCTAGGACTTGGGTATGGAGGCTACTTTTGCAGAGAAACTTCCCAGGAAATCTTTGTGTGCTTCAGGTAGCTGGCCTCCCCAGATTCTTCAGCACGCGCTCATAAACTCATAGGTGGTGAAGGTTCGCGTGTCAGAGCTGAAAATAAGCCCACTTTTGCCTCATTCCCTGCTAGTTGGAGCTTGCCAGCGTCACCCTTTGGAGAACAACAGTGGCCCAACTTAAGCACGGCAACTGCAATGTCTATTCACATCTATGCACGTAATTACTGTAGTCCATTTGTCGCAGGCCCTTGTGCCCTTCCCACCCAACGACCAGCAGTGCCTCAGCCGCATCCAAATAACTTCACATGCCGCACTCTGCGGGCTCCTGGGAGGGGCGTTGCTGAAGACTTACACGGGAATCGCAGCGTTCGGAACCCTTGGGCTTCAGCAGCTTGAGTCGTGTGAGCTTCAGCCCGAGAATTTTGAGGAAGGAAAGCTGTAGAACTTTGCAGCTTCAATTTGCAGCTGTGCTGCTTGGATCCGAGTGCACTTCTTCGGAGGATTAGGGGGGTTCAGAGGTGGTCTGCGGCATGCTTGTTGAGGGTACAACCTGGCCTGGCGATTTGGTTTAGACAGAAGCTGGCAACTTGCCAGGGGTTCCTGTGCTGAATCTTAGATAGGCCGGGCTGCTTTCGAATGCAGACTCTGGACGGCATATGTCCACAATCTCAATCACCCCTGGCATGGCGGAGGTATTACATCGGCGGCAAGTACGATCAGGAGGCATCACTCCTTCGGCCGTGCCTTCGAATGCCATTCGGGGCAGGCTAGGTCATGTGAAGCCTGAGGCATTGGCATCTCGGGATCAATGAGTGTGAGCCCTCTTGGCAGGAGCAAACATCAACCTACCACATCCTACCATTCCAAATGCCCGTGAACGTAAGCTCTTCTCAAGTCTTCCCCGTCTCCCATCATCGCGACCCAGGACAGCTGTTCCCAATTTCGCGCATGATGGACATGGCTCAAGCACCTGGCTGAGGCCCAGTGCCTCGATATGCCTCGTGCGGATGGGTTGAATAGTTAAAAGTGGTTGAATGGAGCTCTTCGGACTTCTAGAGCTAGCTTTCCTCACGTCACAAACGGGATGCAGTTCGCCTCATGAATTTGTCGAACCTTGAGCCTGCACACTATGAAATTGCTTCTGCAACGTGAGGATCAAAAGACGACAGGACAATTAAGAGGGCCTGCCCTATGTCAGCCTATGTCTTTACACTTCGAGTTGAAGCTGAGGCAGGTTTCAACCAACCAGTAGAGGAGCAACAGCCACACCTCCGCCTATACGTCACCAGTATACTCGTGAAGAAAGTATTCTGTAATCCTTAGGTCCAAGCGTCAGACGATGTTTGGGGTGGGGCAGCGAGTGGCGAGTGCCACCGCTGAGGCAAAGCTTACAAAAAGTTGATGGCGGGTGACCAGCTTTCGAAAGGCTGGTGGACTTCGCCCAGCACGCGGATGCGGTGCACCTCTTCGACGAGTTCTCCAGCAGCCCAGCTAAGTGCCCAATGGTTGAAGGGCATCCTCAGCCCAGGTGTGTGGAATCCAGGCTGTGTTTTCTGAGTTTGGTTTCACCGTGTGTAAGTGTGGCCCGGGCAGACAGACTGTGGGATCTCAGGCTGTGGAACAACCCTTGGTACTAGTGGCTTCACCCTTGAAAAGGGCGTGAATGAAGAGAGTGAATCGACAATTGCCCCTATATGCATCAAGGCGTGCCCTTCGTCAACCATTAGCTGCATTAGCTCGTCAGCAGATGGTAGACGTCTGGAACGCTTGAACTTTTCTAGTTGACATGTTTTTTTTTCGGAAAGCTGTTGTCTGTGAGCTGACGATAGGGAAACGCACAGAGCCCTGTGCTTGGCCTTCCTGAGGCAAGTCCCACTGTGGGCGCATTTACCAGGGTTCCCTGGACAATGGCTACTTTGTGGAAGCCTTGCAGGCACTGAACTTGTCACTGATGATTGTTGACAAGAAAATCAGCAATGTGCCATGTAATAAAACCGAATCGCCTCGCAGGCAATGCATCAGTGACAGCATCCGTTCGTATGTGAATGCCGTGCTTGAGACGGCGGTTGGAGAACTCAATAAGTATTATCAAGCATGGACCCTCTTTTGCCTGACGTGCGAAAGGCAATATCACTGCGCCCAAAGCTGGTGAAGCAGCTGTTCTATGCATGGCAAGCGCGCAGGCAAGGTCGTGGTCCGTCTTGTGCGTTAAAGGTTTGCACGTGCTAGTGGCAAGGGAGGGGTCTGGACGGTCTGGGTCTATGGCTTTGGCAGCGCCAGCAGGAGACAGCACGAGCTTGAGGGGTGGTATTTTCAGGCCCTATGAGGGCTGGTTTGGTTTGAACTTACCCATGACCGGATGCGAGCCCCTCTGCGAAGCGTTGTCAGCTGCAGGGTTTGGAAGAAGAGTTTCGCTTCCCCTAAAACACTTTTCTGAAAGCATGCCATAGCAGTTGCCTGTTTGCACATTTGAGTGCCAAAGCTTTATGTCCGCCTGTGTGACACACGCACGGGGAATTGCCATGGAGTGGGAATTTGCTTTGCATGTGTTGACCCCAAGCCTGTCCAGGTCCGTCTACATAGCGAGACTGTACAAACATGGAACTTGGATGCGAGTTGAAGTCGAGCCTCAACTGCAAGAGGGCTGGCGCTGTTGCAATTCACACATGCAAGGCCTGCCGTGGAATCCAGTCGACCTTGCTTTTGTGAAAGCTTAGTGTGTGCTCAAGACTTCAAGCAGCATCTTCGGCTACAGATTGGTAGATGTTGGTGAGAGAGATTGACCCTTCCATCCACCCCTCACTGGCTATAGATATAGTGAGTGCCCCCCGGAGGGATCCTTGAACACATAATATCAAAAAGCAGTTTCTGACCTTAGGACGACTACGTCCCGGTGGGTCGCCCTGGAAGGTCCAATGCATGATCGTACATGAGTGGCATCAATGTAGCAAGAGATGGGGTGGGGGCTCTTTTTCTGAAATCTGGCAACGCGCCGCAGTCGTAGCTCACAAGCAGACTTGTCACATGCGGGGACTTGCTAAACTTCCGCCGGCAGCCTTGAACTTGGACTTTAAAGCCGGTAATTGCACCGAGCCTTTGTAAAGCATAGGCACGGAGGCCAACTTTCTAGAGCGTACCAGATCCAACGCATGCAAGGTAATAACGCAGAACGCAGACAGCATCCCACGCATGCACAGGAACGACACCGAGGTCAACGTGCCAATCTGCTGCCGTTCAGAGCATTTCCCGCACCTTGACCAACATGCACCACTGAGGTCACAAGGAAAAACTAATCGCTTCCCCCCTGATATTTAACGACGCCCCACCCTAATATTAAATGATTCGTGGCTCAACAACTTATTCAATATAAGGGGGGGTGGCATTTATTGCAAGAATTAGATAGGGCTGTCTTTAAAATCCTTCTAAACTCAAGGGAAACCGAATACTCAGTTTAAATCAACTGTTTAATTGCATTAGATAGAAATGAGTTGGATTCTGAACACTGTAGCTATCTAATTGTCTAATTAATGAAATCAATTACATATTTGAAAAATGTATTTTCCATTGTACCCCCTAATTCATTATAAGGTGGCCACTTTTTAGCCTACGCCTTTCAAAAATGATCTTCAGCAAATTTGAGGCTTGAACTTATTGTTGAATATTAGGGTGGTTAGGAGGTTGCGATTAATACCGCTTCCGCTTAGGCTGTTGCCCCAAAATGGATGCACGCTTTCTTCCGATATGAATAGGATGGACAGTGGACTCTACGTGGAATGGTTTTGATTAGAGTTCCAGAACACTCTCACCCAAAACGACATCGTCGACACAAACCCTGTGGTGGAGAACGATACGACATGCACCATTTTCTAATGACCCTTAGCCCGGACAAAAACACACCACCATGCATTTTACCATTCTACCGCTATACCACAACCAAAACAACCCTTGGCAGTCGCACGCAGCTTGACATTTAAAACCATAGTTTCAGAAGACTTCAACTTGGGTATTGAAGCTTGGCCAAGCTGCTCATACCTTTGACCGTGCCTTCCTGCACTCGTTGGGAAGCCGCCCTTCAGGAATGTTATTTGGCCAAGCCTCATTGAGAAGGCTTACGTGCCTTGCCAGATGTGGTGCGCAACCAGGGGCGCTGCGACAGAAAAGTTGCTTAGAAATAGATGAGGACCAAGAAATCATCAGGCATGCAGGAAAGGGTTCGCGCAGCAGGTGCTGCCAGGACGTCAGCTGTCATGACGTTGGTCAGCTAACTGTGGAATTAGATTCCTAATTGGGAAAAGTTGTCTGGCAACCTGAGGCAAAGATTCACACTCTGCGGCTCAGTCCAAGTGCAGTTTCGGAGGAAGACATGGGAGGCTGGCAAACCTTTAAAAAGGAAGTTTACGGCAAGAACAGGCCTTACTGTAAGTGGCACGAAGCACTGACCATCAGGCCTTGAGCCTTTGATACCTGCGCCCCTTACGAATGTTGGAGTACGTGCAGGCTGGGAGGCATTGAACGGCGGCGGAAAAGTCGAGGACTTCGATTTGTGTCGCGTAAGCCCCGCAGCTCTCTCATTTTCTTTGTTGTAGAGCACGTCGGAGAGTTCAGAATGGACATTTTGGGCTGTGGAAAAATTGAAGCCCCACAGCGCAGATCCTCCTATTTGGTAGATGGGGCTGTGCCCAGCTTGCTGCCTTTTGCAGATGACATTGGGTGGGATCCGCAGTGCTTACCTAGCTTACCTTGCTGAAACCTTCTTCGTCCTCGGCTTGTTTGCGAGAGCAGCCGTAGCTTTGCCGGCACAGGACGCCTTGGCAGATCTCACCGGAGGTGTGGCAGGGCGATTTTACACCGAGGATGTGGCCTGGCCATATCACCTCTACAGCTTCTACAGATAAAGAGCGAGTTGAGATGCTATAAGTCCGAAAAGCATCAAAAAGCGAGGATGATACCTATTTCTCTTGGCTCCTTCATGCTGTGAAGCCAGGAATCCAACAAAACACCGCATCACTCAGGTTTCGCCGGATCGGCTCTTTATCTACATCCACGACCTGCAGCGGGCCCCACTGCCCTGCATGTACGTTGCAAAGGGGAATACTTTCAGATTGTTTCAGGTATTCACAGACCTCCATATTCCCGAGCCAATTCAAAGATCTCCATCTTCGCGAGCCAAGGGGTACAATTCCATGAAGCCAGGACACCCTTTTCGTCTGCCGGCCGAACACTACGAACTGCGAGATGCAGGGCGTGAGGCTGCATGTACCTGTAGCGGTCTGCAAGTACTTTGTGGCTCTCGGTGCCTTTCCTTGGAAAATGAACAGTTTATTTGTCGGCAAAGACTGTTGCCGAGGGTTGTACATGCCAGACCAACAGTTCCTGTTTGAGGCGAGCCGAGGCCATTTCTTGCAAGTGGATTGAGGTAGCAACTGGTTTCCAAGAAAATTGATATTGAGCCAGGCTCAGAGCAGTGTATTTAAGACTTTGTCCTTCAGCAACCTCCTGTGGGCAGCTCGTGCATGGCAGCGCTCGACAGAATTGGCAGGGCTGTGCAAGTTTCAGGCTGAATCCGTACTACCCCTATGCAGTGAACCGAGCAGTGCACTGGGAAGGCCTGCATCTGCATCTTGGGATCACGAATGTTTACTGCCAAGCTTTATTGGATGTCATTCCTGTTTGGACTGTTAAGGCCCGTCCGCTTTACCTGAGTTGAACACACCAGACACATCGGCTGTCATTTCTTTATTCGACTTCGGCCGTGCCAGAGTGGACATGGAGATTCCTGAGCTGTTGTGCATTACTTTGAGCCTTTGTGATGTTGGCCTCCAGTCAACAGCCCCAACTGACCCTCCAATTACGCTTGCAGCTGCGCAGGTGGGTTGTACCTACAGCTCTTCTGTGGCGGTCCAGGTGTGTATGACGGTGCCCTGACATGCTTACAGCATCTTACCATCTCCTGGAGTATTCCATGACCATAGAGCATAGCAGCCATAGTATTGTTCTACGCTACGCCATTGCCACAGCGAGAATTGACATTCCTGCTTTGACAACTAGTTGTCGACCATTTTTCCCTATGTCAACTTGTGAATCGAGAATGTCTTGGAGTCTTGGGCTAGGGTGATGACTGAAAGCAGGTAACTCAGAGCACATTCAAGATTGCATGAATTTCTTGCAAATGGAAGGCTTTGCTTTCCTGATTCCTTGGGAGTAGTGGAGATTCGGCAGCAGCCTGCCAAACTCCAAATGTTAATGAAGCAGATGATGGGCCGATTGCCAGGTGGCCTGCAAGACATCACGGTGCCGTATACGCTCTCGCGGAATGAGAAGTTTCCCGATCCCCGGCAACAAATTACATCGAGCTCACATAGTGTCATAGGACTGAGTTGCCTGCATTCTGTTGCGCTTATTATTTGGGCCTCATGCAATTCAGAGCCTTAAATTCTACACCTGGAGGTCTGGCAGGGCCTTTTCTGAAAGCGCTTGTAAGATACAGTGCTTTGTGGGACTTTGCAGTTCTAGGTTTGGGCGTGCTGACATCATGTCTGCAGGCTCTTTTGGGCCTGCCTTGCCAGGATCCTGCGGTGTAACACATGTCAGTTACAGTAGTACCTGGAGCGAACATGCATACCTTGCGCGAAGGAGCGCCGAGAGGATGGCTACCTGGCAGAACCCGAAGCCTAACTTGGGGCAGTTTTTGGCAGCAGGAACCAAAAGCACGTTGCTGTTGCACACAGTTCAACTTGAACAAGGGTAGACAAGCGCAGCTGGCCAACATGAGATTGCAAGACGGTGGCTGAGCAGAATCTGTTGTGACTGTCAGGCCTTCGGACGGTAACTCTAATCGGAATTGTGTGAATCCTACGTCGGCTCAAAGAACTCAGCACTCATTATTGTAGCCGTCACTTGGATGCCCAAGGCCTGCATCTGAGGTTTCTTTTGGCTCAATGCCGAAGACTTCCACGAGTACTTCGGGACCATATTCGAGCAGCTGGTCTAAAAGATTCCTGTGCGACCCTGATGTGTGTTGCGGCCGTCCCGGAAGCACTCGCACGTGAAGGTAGCCGTTGAGAGATGCCTTCCGCCTTCCTGTAGGTGCCGGCTGGTCAACAGTGGCGACGTTTCCTTGCCAGAGATGCCGCCCCCGCGCTTTGAAACGGTCAGGCAGCGATTGCATGACATTAAAATCATGCACTTGCATGGGCTTCCCATTTTGCCAAGAGTTTTTTGCTTACGCACTACGACCGAGAATGATGTTGGCCGTGAAAAGTTGGCGCCATGTGTTTGTGCAAATGTATTTGTGCAAGGCCACCGCCGTCCGACATGTCCCTGATGGCAGCCGGCATGATGGTGCCTTGGCAGCGCCACACAAGATAAATTTCCGCTGAAACTGTTCATTAACTTTCCCGCGCTTGAGTTGCAGGCTCCTGGAATGGGCGACATGGGACTTGGAGGAGCTGCTGGGCAGCATGACAAGTTTACGACAACCGCTTTGAAGAGAAATGAGTGGGCGGTGCAGAGGGCATGAGGAGGGGGGGGGCGGGGCGGCCCAAAAAATAACACGTAAAGGAGTTGGCTTTTGATTCCCTGCACCCACCTGACCTGTAGTTTCCATGGTGGGCCGTAAGTGCTTTACACGATTCTGACTTGTAACAGCAAAATGTGTCCACCAGTGCAATTAAGCTGTAGTAAAGTTCTGCTATTGCTGCAGCGCCCGATGTGTTTGATTGTCAGTCAGATGGCGCATGCAGACATTGGCAAACATGCCCCGCAGCCGTAAGCTTTCCAAACGCCAGCCGCCACTTGAAGAACCTTTTTGCAGCTTGGCTTTCAGAAATTTGTTCTTGTCGTTTGCTTGAATTGCTGAGGGAGTTTGCGCCGCAATGACTCCAACATAGTTCGTGAGTTTCGTTCCAAGGCCGCCATGGACAAGCGAATTGTGGGCTGCTTGGGAGGAGGCATGAGCAGCATGCCGCGTTGGCGGATGGGTTCGTATTGCAAGCTTCGGCAAGTTTAACGCATCACGTGTTATAAAGTGCAGGCCAGTTGGGCCGAATGATGGTCTACGCCGCCCATCGCCTGGGAGCGTCTTGTTTGAATACCTGACATGTTAGAACTGCTTGCGCCATGCTCGTTTCTAAACTCAACTATGAGCAGCGGGATGCCCGAAAATATTGAAACTGCTGCCATTGCCGTTCACACGCACTAGCGAAGCACAGGTGAAGATGTGCGTGCTCGATCCACTGGGAGAGAACTCTCCTGCTGGACAGGCCTTTGTCAGATTGAACGTAAAGATGCAAAGATCGCATTTGCTCCATTGCGTTGTCATAAGCATTCACATTTTGCGTTTACCATGTCAGATGAGTTATTGAGCTTGCTTTGGAAATGTTTGCTGATCATTTTCATGTTCTTTGGAGCTCACGCTGCACGCTTTGCTGCAGGTTGCTGAAATGTCGGTGAAGGGTAGCTTCCAGGCACGTGTGTCCACTTTTTGGCATAAGCATAACATGGGTGTGGTGCAGCATGTGGCTTTAAAAGCTTTTACTTTCATGCAAAAACTTCAACTGGACCAAGGAGCCATTCTTCAGACTGTTGTTCAGGCAGTGTAGCAGTTTCAGGCGATTGTGGCGCAAGCTCCTCCTGTGTTAGCCTTGTTCTAGAAGAGTACTTTTGTGCGCAGCTTGGCGCCAGGAAGCGGAGAAGGTCCGGGAACTAGCAAAAAAGTGCGACATCTTGACCCTGGAGGTGGAGCACGTCAATGCTGACGCAGATTCGAACAAATTATGAGGTTTAGCTTGAAGTGCCGGATTCAGAGCGCTAATAAGTGTCGCCGAGTTTCAACCACCAGATTGAGATGGGTATGTCAAGCCGGGAGAAAGCTGTGGTGATTGCATGTCACCGTATGCCGTTCCTTGCCTGTGAGTCCCTGTGCAAGCTAGAAGCTAGATAGAGAACCCTAGGTTTGGAAAGTTGATGCGTTGGATCCAAGTTTGGGATGGGTGGAAGGTAAGGGTTTGTTTCCACAGTCGTCCGCCTGCGGAACCTTTCAGAGATCACCAGGCCTGTTCAACTTCGCCATGCTTTCCGCATTGGCAATTTTTCGAATTTGTCTGACGGGGGAAGCAAAGACGCACCCTTGTGAAAGCTGCACCTAAGGTGTTGGAGGAGCTCCACCAAGCAGGTGTTCCCGTCCAGCCACTTCCTTTCGTGGTCAAGCTGATCCAGGCCGTTTCGACGGGTCGTAGGGTTTGGGGCTGTACACTTTGACCTACAAGGTGTGCATTGCAGGTTTTGCTACAGCTGGATTTCACAAAGACCAGCGGGCAAGCATGGAAAGGTGTTTTCCAGTTGTAGGCCTTGTTTTCACCAGCAAGACTCAAGACTGAATTAATTTCTGACAAGCGCGAGCGTTGAATTACATCATGGGTTGGAAGGGTTGGAGGTGAACAAGGAACGCATAAGTATAACTATTGTTGACAAGCCTTACTCGGAGGCCTTGCAAGAAGCCTTTTCATGGACACCACATTCAGCATTTGCTTGCAGTATGTGTCATGCGCCAGGACAAGTACGTTCAGAGACTTGGCTGGGAATTTGATGCGCACCGTGAGAGGATTTGCTCGTAGGTGTTGGACTTTGAAGGCATTGCGCGCTACCACACCAAGACGACCTATCATTGAACACTGTTGCAACCTGTGAACCTTTGTAAGGGTTTGTGCGTGACTGCCTCAGGAAGGTACACCTGCAAAAGCATGGCGTGCCACTGCCTGACTTCGAGAAAGTTGAGACAGATCCTTGTATGCATCCGTGCGCCGCGTTTTCTAAGTGGGTGGTTGGATCCGGTGTGCGATCAATGCGTCATTGCCACGTAGCTCAGACTTATCCCCTGGCACTGGAATCAGATGGCCGAGCTGTTTCTTTGCAAAGAAATGCTCAGGAAGCTGACTTGCACAGCATCGGTGAACGCTTCGGTTACCCCATGATGCTGAAGAGTCGTTCCTGGCTTGCACTTCAAAGTAAGTGCTTGATGTCGGCGGGCAGGGTGCTTTTGCGGCAGGGTCTACGAATCGTTGAGACATGGTTTGGCTTCAGTCAGTTGTCATTGCTCGCAGTCGCTTTTGCAGGGTATGGCGCTTACGACGGAAAGGGCAACGCCGTCGTGCCCAATGCGCTGCTCACCTACAAGCTATATGATTGTTAAGTACCAGTTGCATTCCCCTGTCAAACTCAGCGCAGTGTTTTCGCTCCGTATGCTCCTGATTCTGGCCCGACCCAATGCAGCTCAGCATCCTGCTTGTTGCTGGCCTAAGACTGCAATCGAGGCAAGGCATTACAGCAGCCTTCGAAAAGCTTGGTGGCAAGGCAGGAAAGCTTCTTGGCTATTGAGCTTGTCAGTGTGTGAGCTTGTTCATGGGGCCTGTAAGCCGTGTAAATCTACCAGAAAAGATGTCAGGCATTTATGTGCCTGTTTAACGTAGATTTGTCCAGCCATGGCGGGATTCAGAGATTTCGCGCCACCAAGCCAGCGCATCTCACCATGTTTTGTTGGCTAAGGAAATTGTACGAAGCTTGGCAGCAGTTGCACCTGCAAACTTTTCGAATGACTGTATACTCAGTATGCTCTCTCCATCCTAGGCCTGTTCCTGTAGTTATGCGGATATTTGGTTCGAGTAATCGAAAAAGAGGATTCATCAAAGACAAGGGGGTCAAAAAGCAAGCAAAAGAGAGAGAGCTTTGGGAAGGAAGGAAGGAAGGCGAACTGAGAGAGGGGCAGAGAAACAGACACACACGGCGGGTGGGTCGCTCTGCGCGTCATTGCGCAAAAGCAAAGAGAACGAGATGATCCAGGCATAAAACCCTTGAAGAAGCAGGGAGCCGGGAATGCTGTGCATACAAGCCTCATTGACCTGTGAAATGGAAAGCGCTCTAACACAGGGCTTTAATGGCACGAGGATCATGGCTTCAATTTGGCACTACCCATCAACGAAACTGATTTTGGTTTGGCCAAGATTCATGAGATGCAGATGCGAAGTTGGGAAGTGCACGAGTCCCAGGTAGAGAAATGGGCTCCCTTCAAGATGGAGCTCGCGGCAACTTGGGCTAAGGGGAATGTTTCCGGTACAAAGTAGTCTCGATGCTTTGCGAATGATAGCCCAAAATCAAATCAGGTGATGGTTGCCAGGGGCGTGGACGAGACCATGAACGTCACCATGCGCACCTGGATGCAGCATCATCATGGTCATAGGGCACGAGTCACGTTCGGACTCGCTGTTTCAGATCTTCGCAGGAGCTTGGAGAGATTCATGGGTTGTGTCCACAAAGCCTTGTCTCTCCACCACTGAGACTCGAGTGGCAGGAAAGAATCCGGAAAATTAGGATGCATTGAGTGCAAAAATATATTCATATTTGCCTGGGATTCGGCAAGGGTTGTCCACAGATTGCAGATGTCAACAAAACCAGAATGAGTGTTGTCGTTCCAGGTCATATCATAAATAAGAAAAGGCGACCGCATAGTCATCATAGTCAAAACGATACATGCAAAGCGCGTTTCATGAAGTTCCCGTAGTCAGACCCATCAGTACTTGTTTGCCGCACCGCACTTGGCTTTGGGGAATAAGGTACCTACCCGGTGGTGCACACTGTGCAGCGTGACAGCGTTTGCTTCACTTGCCTCACACCGCCAGTGGGAGACACTTGGACCGTCAAGACATGTTTGTTGAATCGCGCAACTCAGCTCCGCCAAACTCTTTCCTCGCAGCACCAGAAGAATCGCATGTGTGTTAGCGTTGGCATGCGCGCGCCTGCCAAGCCGCGGCCTGCCGGCTTGAATTGCTCTTGTGGCTTGCAGACATTCCAACAGGCTTGGTTTTCAAAATGGCCTTTGGTTTGAGTTTTTTCCAGGTGACCCAGAAGCAGCAAGAGCTTGCACAGAAGATTGCCACCGATGCCATCAAGAGCTTCGGCGGCTCGGTTCAATGGGCATTTCATGATCAGGCCCACCATAGTCGTAGCCATGTTGCAATCGGGCCCGTGCCTGCATGGATTGAGAATGAGCTCAGGCGACGCTCGCGGCATCTTCGGTGTAGAGATGTTCCTGCTGGAAGATGGCTCTGTGCTTCTGAACGAGTTGCTTGGCTGCTTAGGTGTGCGGATGCAGGCGCTTTCAGTATGACATGAGTCTTCTTGACGTTTTACAAAGTCAGTGTGCGGTCGCTTGAACCGTAATGCAGCTTGAACTTGAAGTTGTTTAGCCCTGGCTGCATGTTGGGAAAAACGAAGCATCGGCAGTAAAAGAATGCATTACCCACCCAAAAAAAGGCGGTACGCGCGTCGGATTCCAATTCAGCATTGGTTTGGTTCAGATGAGAGCTTGTAGCCAGGATTGCACCGCGACCTCACAACACTGGTCACTACACCATGGCACCTCGTCCTAAGTTCTGATTCTGGAAGGAACCAAAGCCCTGGAGTTTCTGTTGCAAGAACATCAAAGCTGCGGTTCACTCTTCAACGGATGCCAGGAAGCCTGTGGCGTAGACCAGTTTGAGCAACACTTGCGCTGCGTGCTGGGCCTCCCACTGGGCGACTGCGAGCTCCGCGCCTTGGCTCCAGGGCTTGGGGTGGTGAAAGCGTATGAAGGATGGGGCCGAAGATTTCTTCAGTCGCAGGCTTGGCCACATGATTTGTTTTTTCCTGGTGTTCACTTCAGGCGTAGGTGGCGCGATGATGGTGTCGCTCGGATGGCAAATCGTTCTTGTGTTGCCGCGCAGTAAAACCCCTTCTTGCAGAGAACGTCAAGAAGATAACGTCAAGAAGTTGGCAAGCCACGCAATACATGAAAGTTCTGGTAACGGGTGAATCGGTAATCGACCCAAGCTCGTCCCAGCATTGCATTCGAATGCTCAGCAAAACTCCTTTTGGATGCGCTGGAAGGAACATCCTTGGACAGGGTGAGACACCAGAAATGGTCCCTGGGCTGCATCAGTTTGGGCTTCCAGCCCATCACATTCTGTTAGTGAAGGGTGCACGGGCTTGGGACCAGTCTTGTGAAAGGAAAGCTGATGATTTTGCAAGTTTGCGCTGGGAGATGTGTTTTAAGAATTCGTTTCCGATAGCATTCTGGGAACACGAAGTACTGCAGCCGTTCTGTTATGCGCAGTTCTTTTTCAACATTCCAGGCAGCTGTGTGGCTTGAATGGGTACATTTTCATCCTTCCAGCATTCTTTGAGGATGCCCAAATAACAAGAAGAATAATCGAATACTCATGATAAAAGCAAAGTCATAATCATCACAAGAGCAATACTCCTAGTAGTAATCAATAGTTGATGGTAATCAAAAACAAGAATGAGAATCACAGCAATAAGCAGTGCATGAGGTGACCAAGACCATGGCACCCCTCCGGCGGGCGCTGAACGTCCCGGATGCCGGAATCCACTGGTATGGCAAGGCTCATGGCCAACGTTATGTATACTTATCTTGAGACTCCGAAATGATCGGCCCAGAACTATGGCGCAGGGGCTATATTCTAGACAGATTATGACAATGATTTACCGGAAGTGTACGACTGCAGACATGCATGCTTCATCATCTCCTGAGCTTGCAAAGGCTGAGGCATCCAAAGTTTGAAAGTGGATGAGCCTTCAGGTGTGACATGTGAGGTGGCTGAGTGGCGCTGAAACATCTTGGGCTTTGCAGCGGGAATTCTTGCATGTTCATGTACGGCGGCTTCGACTGAGATGTAAGCTCTTTAACATTCAGCTCTCGCTCTAGCAGGGTTGTCGATGCTGCGACATCTCCACCCCTCGGAAATGCCCTTAGCTCATCGCTACGCCAGGAAGGCTGCGCCAAGGGACGAAAGATGGGCATCGGCCTTACTTGGGCTTGCGGATTTTCAGCCCTTGTGGGGGCCACAAGGGTTTTCAAAGCGGGTTCCAGCTCTCAAGCCGTGACTCTAACATGCAGAGAGGGAATTCATGCAGGAAGCCTGTCAAGGTCGCAATAGGTCGCAGTTTGCGCGTGGTGAAGTCCCTCACATCCTATGATCAAGCGTGTGTTTCTGCAAGCATGTGAGGATGCAAGTACGGCATAGTACAGCTGTTCCAGGCCATATCACGGTGACTGGCTTCACCCCGGCCAGCGCACTGGAACAGATCCGGCCCGTCCTCAAGGTGCCTCGAGGGAATTGCAAACCGGGGTTTTGAAAACAATTTTTGGACTAGTTCTCACATGTCCGATGGCTGGATAGGTCTATTGTCGCATATGAATGACCTTTGATGCTAATCAGCGAAGGCCGTCGACGGTGACGAAGCTGCTGACAAGCACGATGCCTCATGGCAGTCATTCAGACCACTTTAGTGGAGACCAGGGCTCCCACACGCGACTTACACGCACCGCCTTATACTTACCTAAAGTTCTAACTTTGAATGAACTTGCCCAAAAGATTCGTACACTGGGAGTGGATAGAATAAGTCCGAGCTGTCCCTGTCCTTCGGGTCAATCAAATCCCTTTGGCCAGCATGATGTCCGTGAGTCATATGTAGCTGAAACACGGATCCCTGTCACATGGCAACAAGAGGACGCCGTTGTTGCTTTTGTTCATGGGCCTACCAACATGTCATGGATAGGTTCCCACGAAGCCGTCACCCAGCGTTGGCATCATCATGGGCAGTGACAGCGACCTTCCCACGATGAAGGATGGCAAGCTTTCTCAGTGAGGTTTTTTCAAGTTGGAGGGCATTTTCATCTCATGCAGCACATGGATCTTTGGGAGCATTACGCAAGAAAGCTCGAAGCACGCCAATGACTTCTCAGCCACACCGTGTGTTTGACAGGATGCTGCCCAGATTTTAGATGACTTCGGTATCCCATATGAGAATCTCGGACGAGATAGATGCAAAAAAGCTTCAAACTTGCTATGTGGCGGGTTCCACCAACAGTGCTGGCAATGTTTGCCTCTCCGCTTCAGTCAGGAAATCAGCTTTGCCCTTGTTGTCAATCACCTTCCCTTTGGGCGCCTGCCTTTTGGTAAACAGCCTTGGGTTCAATTCAACATGCCAAAATGTGAGGGCGTTTCGCGACTTCAGACAAACAGTTGAGACTGTCTGGATTCAGCATGCGGCATTGCATGGAGTTTTCAGTGTCTGGAAGCCCGGACCTCATCCATCACACTGAAAATGTACGGAGTTTTCATTGTGGCCTAGTTGAAGCTCCGACTTGAGCGTTTGCCAGAAAATGGGATTCTGGCCAATCCGTGCGTTGTTTTGGAGGCGAAATATGTCACAGGAGTCTACATCATATTATGGTGACGTGTCATGCAGCTTTGCCCGCCACAAGCGGGATTCCTTTCAAGTGACTTTACTCTCCTGCAGCTGGTATGACCTTGGACTGTCAGCTTCCTCAAAGATTCGCAACGCTTCCCGAAAAGTTTCGGGGGAGTGTGTCTGTCAGGGAAGGAGTACTCGTGCTTCATTGGCTTTCATGGAGTAGCCCTAAGCATAAGATCCTAACAGGCAGCTGGATATGATGTCGGTCCATATATGTATATATATATGTGTACATATTGTGATTGGATGTTATTCGGTCATCACAGAGCTGCTTGCTTGTTGCATAGTACCTGAGGATCAGCGTCGTCTCGGCGCATCGCACACCAGAGTATATGCTCCTTGCCAGCTCAATCAGTTTTCTTCTTCACGCCACACCGACGGAAGCGCCAGCTCACAAACTACCATCCCCGGCCACCGCCGCCCGGCACTAGCACCACCGCCCTCACCATTATAATTTATAAACTTACAGCCCAATGCAGTAGAAGGTCCTAAAATCTGCCATTATCATCGTTCTCCCCGCTCCTTTGCTGGCTGCCAGGTACGAGTATGCCACGACTGCAGAAGCCCGCGGCATCAATGTCATCATTGCCGGAGCTGGTGGCGCTGCGTGGCTCGGTCAACTCCTTCAGGTGTCCTCCAAATCACTCACGGGCTTTTTGTCTCGATGACAATTGCTACCGGTTGCAACAATGCAGGTCTCTGATGTTGAGAAGTTCCACCAACATTGGATGGGAGCATGCTACTGTATCCTTATCTCAGAACCGTGGCAAAGCTCCACCTAGTGGGCGAAATGTGCTGGGGCGAGTGATTCAAGCTGCCTGAAAGACATACGGTAAACGGATATAAGGTTAGAAGGTGTTTCTGTTGCAGTGGGCCCATTTGTTGAACAGCCAGCTTGCAGGGGACATGGTGTTTGCAGCTCTGTGGGTGCAAGCCTAGCAGCGTTGCATTGGAAGATTCCAGAAGCTGCTTTGGTACCACAAGGCTGCGGTTATGTCCGTTCGTGAACATTAGGCATGCACTTCCACACAAGAGCTGAGCCATAGAAGGGCAGCTTATGGAATTCAATTGTTGGAAAGGGATTCCGCATCAAGACAGGGAATGCCAGAGATACCACCTACCGCTGACCCTCGCGTTTGTAGCAAAATTTACGGTGTTCGAGACATTTGTTTATGCCTCGAGTCTAAGGCACCTTCCCGGCATGGTCGCGGCGCTGACTCCGCTACCAGTGCCGCTCGCGCTTGACTTCAATGGTTTCCAGGGAATCGTGTGATTTTCAGCTGTGCAGACAGCATGAGGAGCTGGGAGCGACATAGGGTTTGGGGTTATCATCGGCTTTTCACTTTTGTTTCACTTCGTCGCCCGGCAAGTGGCAAATCTTGGGGCATGTCGAGGCTTTGCTTTGGGGCACCTTCGGAGAGGCAACGCGCTTTAGTGCACACTCGTGCATAGTATGAATGCCTCTATTTTGAGAAGCTCGAAGGTTTCGTTCAACTCGCAGGCCCTTCCAGTCAAAATCCATTGCACAGAGACATGTTACAAATGGAGCGCTGCACCAGCGGTCAGGATCGGTGTCCCGGTGAAGTCCTCCACTCTGAGCGGAAACGATTCGCTCCTCTCAATCGTGCAGATGCCGAAAGGCAGAGATCGGCATTCGAATTTGAGGATGTGTCCCCTTGGCTTCGGCACGTTACCCTGCATAGACAGCCTTACTACTTGCCTGTACGGGATCTAGCAAAAGCTGATTTGAACATCCAAGAGAGTATGTCTTGCAAGCTTGAGATTCCCAAAAATCGCACCCACCCCAAAACCCGCCGCCGCTGGCCACCTTGTCTTTTCAACAGGCATTCCTGTGGCCACAGTTGCCATTGGCAATGCAGCAAATGCTGGTCTATTGGCCGTCCGCATCCTTGGGGCAGCCAATCCAGGCGCCCGCTGTTTACATCAAGGTAGACTTTGAGATAGTTCGGCCGAAATCCAGAAGTACAGGGCATAGATCTTCAGTTAAAGCCTGAGCTTCTTCGCGGGTCTGCTGGGCCTGTAAGGAATCGTAGGCTCAGGCTGCCACTTAAAGGGGCCTTGGGGGGGGGGGGAGGGTCGGGGATACAAAGCGATGCCTTTGAGGGCTCAGTCAACAGTCTTCACATTCCATTTGTCAAGCTTCTGCTCCTTTGCTGCTGAGAGCAACCCAGCGAACCCCTACCAGGGCCCTCCATAATTCTTGAAGCTTCGAGCCTTGAAGCCTGTACCTGTGGCAAGATCCAACAGTGTTTTCACGGGCAAGCCTTGCAAGCGTGGGTTTTATGTCGTTGTATCCGCTAAGTCCAAGGCTTGAAGCTCAGTACACTTCCCTGCAGCTTCAACATCAACATCCAAAGCCCCTGGGAAGCCGGGAATCCAAAAGGACAGCGCGCGTCAGAAAATCAGGCTACACCTGAGAGATCCTTGGGATCCTCGTTTTAGGTGGACTCTACAGCACGTTTGGTAACGTTTTGAAGGACTATTTGTCAAACCGCGTGAAACAGAGCCAAAAAGTGTACCGCATGGACAGGAGTGGTAGTTCCATCCTAATGCAGGCCAGAGGCAAAAGATGACAAGATATATGGTGACCTGGTAGCAGTTGACGCAGAGGAGGGACGGCGTTTGTGCAGTTGGAGGGAAGGATGGGCGGAACCTTGAGTGCATAGTTTGTTTGGTTCAGTGTGGGAAGAAGAGAGCGTTCAGTAACCTTTTCGTGCCTCTAGCACTGTCAAGTACATCTGATTCTGCCTAGATTCCTGAGCAACATTGTGGAGGAGTTCGTTAGTCATGCTTAGAAAGCGTTTATTTTAGCCTGATATTTTTTTGCAAGCGAAGACAGCTCTAGAACTCAGGCACGGGGGTTCACTCAAGCCAAGCGGTTGGATATATAATTTGCAGGAGCATGTGGACGCTTTTCCCAAGAACTTATTGCGTGAATTAAGGGTTCTTGCCGTCAAGACCAGACTTCCACTACTAGCCTCAAAGAATTTGCGTGCGTCGCATGCGGCGGCGCCACCCAGGCAGAGGAGGCGGCCGCTGTGGAGAAGAAGCGCAAAAGGCTGGAACAGGATGGCTGGCCGCTTGCCAGCAAGCGTTGGTGCAAAGTAGCAAAACCCTGCCGAGAATCAGCCCCTGTGCATGGTTTCATGCGCTGCTTCCATGAGAGAACGTAGGACTCATGTTCGTTGCCGCAAAGCTCCAACAAAAGCCTTCAGAGAAGACATGGCGCATCCCACACTTCTTTTGTTGCAAGCTACCTACATGTGAACATTCATTCATTGTCTCTTCTAGACCATAGACGAAGAGAAGCTCCGCAGGTTCAGATTTGTTGCAGAAAATGGGAATCAGGATTTTGCTCCTGTTTATTCAAGTATTCAGCCAAGGCAAGCGTACCTGGCGGTTGCCAACGGCAAGTAAGTCGCTGCGTGGATGCAACATAGACCTTCAAGTCAAGTGCGGGAAGTCATGTGCCCAGGAGGCTTGACAGTGTCGAAGGTTCATGGCAGGCGTGCCGTTTTATTTCTTCATCGTTGTTCAGTTGTTGAGGCCTGGGACGTTGTGTGATGCAAGCTTTGATGGCACCTATAATGGACATCCAAGGTGATCTTCCATTTTGTGTTGTACCTGAAGCCTCGGAACCTGATACTGAAACTCCCAGCTCGGACTCCTTGGCTGATGTACAACCCGGCACGGCCAATTTTAGCAGCAGCCATCGTCTCGGCCGCACGAACTCAGATTGGTTGATTGCGCAGATGTTCGATGTGGGCGTCTACAGTTCAACATCCTGCTAGTGACGGCTAGTGGGATTCAACAAATCCTGTACGGCAGCTTTGTTCCGTGTGCACTTATCATTGCCGTGCGCAGACACAAGTCAAACTTTGTCGTGTCTTCCAGGGGAGAACCAGACCGCATGTTTTCCACAACGAAGTCGATGAGACCTCACTTTTACGTTTTTGGAATATCATCAAGGTTGACAGCCGAAAAGCATCTTCCGGACGATGGCTTCTGCTCTCTTGTGCACTGCTTTTGGCAGTGCCATCCTTAAACAGGTCTTTTGCCTGTCGTCCCTTTGGAGCACATCTGCATGATGCTAGCCACATCTTCGGTTTGCGAGAGTATCCTGCAGACTCTGGACTCTAAGCATTGCATACTGTCTGCTGCAAAGAGCTGAAGAAACACGTTTCAGCTGCCATCGGCGATTGCTTTCACAGCCCGTCAAGGTCAGCTAAAGCAGACATACAACTACCCGGATCATAATGAGTATGCACTGCATACTTCTCCAAACTGGAAGCCCAAACAAGCATCGCCGCTTGGAATACGTAGGACCGCACTATAGTTTCATAGATGCATTTCTTTTGATTCAGCCACAAGTTTAGTATCCAAAGTACAGTACTTCCCTTACCGAATGAAAGTTATGTTATGTCCCGCAAGTCATTTTTGTGCAGCCGATAACTTCGCAGTCAAGTGGCAGATATGCTCCCAAGCAGCCTGGAGGGCTGATCCCCAGCATTTGCCATGCTGCACTCCTGTGTCTCTAAGCAAGGCACGCCTGGTCTATGTGAAAGGCTCCAGTCTATCAAGTATTTATTCAGGAGATGCAACGCTTGAGCTGTCGCGCTTCGAGACCAGAAGTTCAATTGAATTTATTTCCCATGGTGGCCGAAATCAGCTCTTGATACAGCCACCCGGCAATTCATGGATGCCATGCTCAAGCGTGAAAACCACATTGTTCTCACTACTGCTTGAAGTTTGCCAGGAGCCATGGCTGTCAAATGGACCTGGCCCAAGCCCAAAGTTCCCAAAAAGCAAAATGAGGAGCAGTCATCTCAAAGCCTTCATAGCCGGGAGGTGGCATCTGAAACGCTGGCATTTGAGCTTCAGTGAGATAGCCAGGTGCGTGGTCTGGCCGAAGAGCCTTCAGCTTGAACTGAAAGAACGTCTGTAGCTCATGCTTGGTTTCAACCACGTCCACGCCAACAGGCAGAACGTATGTGTCGCGCAAGTAGCTTGTCATTGGTGTTCATGTCGCATGCCAACTTGCCCGATAGCAGATAGTCATTACTTATACCTCGAGTTGGCTATACAGACCTGTCTATACATATCCATATACACAATGCATGCTTCTGTACGTGCAAATAATGACACAAGGGTCATCCACGTGAAGTAGATAAGATGCAATGTCCGTCCGGAGTGATTGCGGAACTCCTTGAGAAAAAGCAACCAAAGCATCCAGACCACGCAGCTGAGTATTCTTTGGCTTTTGGATTCTTTTGTGCATAGAAGTGGCACCCAGCGATAGAGAGTCATGCATGGCTTGAGGCCGCTGATGCGTTAAAGCATCTATGACTTGTCGCAAGACTATACTCCTATTCCCAATTTGCGCAAGGCGAAAAAGACTTTGATGCTTGATGATTGTACTATTGCACAGCGTTTGATATCTGATGAATGTGGGAGCAAGCGCAGTGCCAGTGGGGTTGCACATGAGCCCACAATTTTGCTTTTGCCGTGCGTGGCCAAGACATACCATGTAGGTCAATGTTTGTCAAGCACTGGGGTAACATGCGTTGCATTGCGTTGCCATGACAGGGAAATGGCGGAAGTTGTGGCAGACCTCGTGTGTGAAATCGTCCGAGCAGATCTTTTCCGTGCGAAGCACCCCGCGCGCCCCGGTGGTTTGCACTTGTTGAAGGTACATGTAACTTCCTGAGGCTCCGCCCCAGGCGGCAATCGCTGATGGAGGCTGGATTCTCAAGATGATAAACATGCTTATACATGCTCGCGATGTTGCCCGCTGCAGCTAACCTATCTTTTGACATCCGAAATGTCACAAAGCACTAATGCGGCAAGGAGTGGAGGACCCAAACGGCATGGAGATCCGGCGGAAGGGCGTGCAACACGTAGGCGCCGATGGCCAACCCCTGGCTTGGTACGTGGCAAGTCGGCATTTCTTCACGGTTTGCGGTTCGACTTGTTTTGAAGAGTTGTGGACTTCATTTTCATAGCATCTCAGATTTGCAATCTCCCTTCTTAGGTTATAAGATTTTTGTAAGGCGTCCAGCATGATAACATGCTAGAGTGCCCGGTCTTTTGCACCCATTCGCACCCTCTCAGAAAACCAGAAGTGTGAGTGGATGCGCTGGTAAGGAGTGGGTTTTCGCAAATCCTGGCGAAATAGCGCTCCAGCTGCATTTCAACGGTCCAGATTCCGGATCGCGTCACACAGTTGTTGTAGAGCCAGCAACACTAGCGAATTACTGCAGCTCACGCCGCACGGTTTCGCACAGTGGATCAACTGCTCATGTTGCCACTCCTACCAATCCACTCAGGTCCGCCAGAATGAGCCCGAATTTGTTGTCACTGTGCCACAGCACCTGGTCTGGGGAGGGAGGTTCAGTAAAGTTGTCGAGCGGTGTTAGGAAGGCTTGTCAGCCGCAGATACCGTAGCTTCAATCCAGGAACCTTATGAGCAAGAGCCTTTTTGTTGCACATTTCTTTCGTAGAGGCAGTATTTGAAACTCCAAAGTGTGATTGACTGTCTTTCGCCACGTGCACCATCAAACTGTCCGGTCCAGGGTGGTGGTTCTTGGCAGCAGCGCCAATGGATAAGTTGATGGTACCGGTTTCGGGTATCCAACGCTACCCCCAATTTGGTCTAAAGATGGTTGTTCCTCCCGGGGAGGAGCAGGAAAGCCGCTTAACTTTTGAGGTCCGATGCATGATCCACGCAACACAAGTCATGCTGTTGCAACCAAGAATCTGAGCGAAAGGACTGGCAGGCCCGAGTGCAAGCATTGATATCCGGACCAAATGATGTCTGTAGCAGTGACCGGCGGGAATCCAAGCAAAAAACGCAAAATTGTTTAAATGGGCCCTGCTCTTGAACCTGCTTTGGCAACCAAGTCTCGCATGCAGCGTTGGGCAAAGGGCATTCGAAGGTCATGTTTGTTCTTTCTTGCCTGGCGCACAGTGCCAGGCCTAAAACCCTGAGGTTTGATCAGATTAGAGCCCCTTTTTTGATCAGGCTTGGAAACCTACATGAAGCCCTCGCCAAGCAAAGAAAACAGAGCTTGACACGGGGCTTTAAAACCGCAACCTGGGCTCAACACTTTGCAAGCCCTGAGCGCCGAGACTGAAGCCAAAAACCTTAAATCCCCAAACCGTACCCGCACCCCAAACTCTGCAACACCCCCAAAACCTCCCCAAACTACAGTTCCAAAACAATGCGTGTAACACCGAAAGATAATACATTCTATAGGGCGAGAAGGTTTGACCCACCTGTTGATTGCGGAGACAGGGTGCCGTGTTCTTGTCTTGCGTACGGAAGTAAGCAAAACTGCAAAGCGCATGCACTATTGCATGAGTAGCGCTTCAATAGTTTTTCAATTCAGCGGAGGATGTTTATGTATAGTGGAGGGTACAAGACTCTGGAGAATCCTTTTCCGACAGACGGAAGAACACAGCAAAAACAAAAACGAATCCTGCCTGCGCGGAACGCGGAAGCTGCTCGTCAAAACTACAACAAATACCCGCGCCAAATCGAAGGCCTCCGCACAAGGCAGTTGTTCCGCCGGAGCGTAAACACGCAAAACATGCGTGTTTGGCCAACCCCTTTGAATGTGGCCTGCGTGGCACGACATGTATTTTCATATTCTTTCGGAGGCCAGCAACTCGTTTTTTGGAGGCTCGGGAGTTGTGCAATGAAGGAGGTCGATGTGCATTTGAGTTCCAGAGCATCCGTGCCAAATCATAGCTGAAATATCGTTCGTGTTCGAGCTCATCCGGTCCGACCACCACAGTATCCATGCCTAAACCACAATCTCGTCCATATTGGAGTGAGCGTGATAACTATAGAGCATCCATGCTCATTAGTCCGGCTTGCCGTATTCGGACAATGCACTGGTCCAATGCACATCCCATCAGTCCGAGAGCGTGAAAAGTTCGGATTCAAATTTTTAACTGCCCCCTGATGCTGCTGCCTTGTGTCTTGTGGTCTTCTGGTCCTCGAGTTTTGTACTGCAGTCCCCTGGTCTGCAGTTCTGTGGTTTGGGTGTCCCCATCATCACATCATCATACATTTGCGATTGGATCCTCCCGTCTTTTTAGGGAGGGGCGTGCTTGCCTCACAAAGCAGTATGTAGGCATTGCGCAAAAGGAAGAGTCATCCCATCATCATAGATTTGTAAGTGGGGGGCCTGCGCCGCCCCCAAGCAGAGTCTTCAAGGCTGCGCATGCTTGCCTCAAATGCCATCATGTGGACATTCCGCTTGCAACAACGGACTTGTCTTCCAATCATCGTATGCTTGCAGATAGGGGCGGGGCTGCAATCCCCCTGCTCCTTTAAAGCCGAGCGCCGAGCGTGCTCGCCTCCCACCGTCATCAAATTTCAATACTCAATTTGCACAGCGCCCACGCCCTCTTGCATAAATAGAGCCGTGCATGCTCGCCTCAAATAACAACATGTGGGTATTCTTTGTGCCAGAACGGACGGATCGTCCAACGATCATGCAGATAGGCGGGCTTTTTTATTAGGCACTCCATGTGCCAAGAAGGAGGGATCTTCCAATCATGATTTGTTTGCACAGGCGGGGCCGCCCAACGTGCAGGCTATTTTCAACGCTGTGCACCTTTGCTGAACAGATCAGCATGCAGGCACTGTGCGATCATCCCGTCACTCCCGTCATCATATGTTTGCAAGTCGGAGGGACCTGCACCGCCAACCCTCTCGCTTGAAAGCCGAGTATGCTTGCCTCACATAGCATCATGTGGGAGACCCTGCACGCCATATAACACGGATCGTCCAACCATCATTTTTTGCAAATGGGTTGGGCCACACCCGCCAACGCCCCCCGCTTCTGTACAACCCCTTGCGTGCTTTCCTTCATCATACATTTGCCAGCAGGAAAAGCAAAATGGACTGGCACCTACAAGGCCCCTGCATTTCAGGCCCAGGACCAAGGATTCTGAATTCCAAGGAACCACGCTCACCTCCCCCACCCTCTTGAAAAACCGACGAAACCAGAGCTGCGCGGACCCCGCCCCCAAGCGTGCCCCAGCAAATAGGTTAAACTACTCCTAGTCTCCGGCTCCCGGATGTAAACAATCCAGGCCTCCGACCTCGGCGGATTTGTTTGCAAAGGGGAGGGAGGCTGCGCCCCGCAAAATCCCTCGTTTCTTTGAAGCTGTGAATTGGTGCTGTGCGAAAGCTCTCCGCGATAAGCCGCAGGGTCTAGGTATACCGTTCAAACCCGTTTAGTACCATCAGCCATTCTGACAACAATTATTACTGGAAGGAATCATGCTTATGGTAATGATAGTTGGCAAGTAATAACACCGAGTACAGCAGCACACAGTGTGTTTGTAGAGCACGCCGTTCAGGTGAGAAGGTAACACACTCATGCCAATCATCATTATCTAGGTGATGGGCAGCAAAGCCTTTCAGATCATCCCATCGTGTTGCCGGCCGTCCTGGTTTGCGATGAGGCAGTTGCGTGACCGTGCCATCCCTTTGAGCCCGCAAAAGTTGCCATACCGCATCCAGCTGTCGAATGTTCGACAACCGTTCAACATGACCGTTGTGAATCCCACCAAAGGCGAAACACTTCTTCCATGATCGCACAGCTTCCTCACCCAGCCTTGAAAAGCAACGGGCTCGAAATGTCCATTTGCTTGATTCCACGCATAATCCCCAACTTTGAATGCGCTTAATTAAACGAGCCGTTTTGGCCAGCATACTCTTTCCAACTGTTGTGCAGATGATGGCGGTCCGCTTGCCTGGGAAGTGCGGTAAAAAATGCGTTGTGTTCAATGCAATCGAATTTTTTGAATCCCAACGTGCAAAGCATAGGTCACAGCTCCACACAATGTGGCTGCGCATAATCCGCATAGTCTTAAATAATGCAAAAACATGTTCGGCACCCAGGCGGAGAAAACTTACCTGATCGGGCGCTTATACGCTGCCCAGTGTTGGGTTGATGTGGACCGTGGCGCAGCGGTGCGGCAATGGGTCACCAATTCTGAGCCCGCAAGGTGTCACCAGTGTTGGCGAACACGGTAAAAATTGATTGGTATTAGCTTGGGTCCCGATCTTTCATTGCCAACATATTGTTGTAAACAGTTACTCAATTGCGCGCACCGCGCGTGCACATGAGAACATTTCCAACAGCCAGCCATCAGAGTCTACAGATTTGCCAATCGATCCAATCAGTGTGGATGCAAGGCCAACTGCAGTTGGGCAAGATGGAAAAAGTGGAGCGTTGTCGTCACACTGGACAGTGTAAACGACGAGAGCGCCCCAGAAACGCATGGGGTCTCTTATAGTCGGACCCTGAAGTCGTAACATTTTTTTGTTTTGCTTGCCCACATTGGGGAAGTAGCAAACGGGAAGTCGTAACAATCAGCGGCCTCACTGGGGATTGCAGATTCTTGACTGTCATCCAACAATTGCGTCTACGTGCTCACACTTGTTCATCTCAGATTCTCATAGCCATTTTGGTTCAGGCCCACATGGCGGCGCAGAAAATATTGACACAGGTCCAGATCCAGTTGAAAAACATTTCTTTTCCCACTTGCACGCTGTGGTACGGCGAGCCTCATGTGTGTGTGTGTGTTTCTTGGGAACGGGGCGGTTGTTGCGGCTCTGGGTGTGCTGGCTGATTTTTTTGAGGATGGTGAAATGGAAGCGAAGGTACACGTGGAAGGGTTATCTTATATCGGTCCGGTTTTTTATGCATCGATCCAGCATCTACTTGGGCAAGCCATGTTTTGGGTTTGGCCTCTCCTTACCAACATAAGAAGTAAAACCTTGTTGATGACAGCGTCTACATGCAGCTTGGCGGTTTGAGCTTGACATCCTGGAGCATACCAGCGTTACGTTGACTGAGCGTTTACTTGGGGAAACCATGTCTTGGGTTCCGCCACTCGTTTCAACGTGACAGCTACGACTTCGTCTGGGCAAGAGTGCGAGAAAAAATGCGACACAGGTGGCAAATCGGTTTCCTTCTCGTGTGCACGTTCTTCTGCGGATGTTATAATATGTCAAATCCCATGTGATACCAATATGCAATAGTGGGGAAAAATCCCAAAATCGTCCCTACGTCCCTATGGAAAGGCTACGGTTCCGCAAGTCATCCCTATAGAGAAAGTCGTTCTTCTCCGAGTCGTCCCTATAAAAATGTCGTTTTTCCCTGAGTCATCCCTATGGAAAATACAGCTGGTGTTATTTTACATCCGCCCGGTTTTTATGCATCGGTTGAGCGTCTACTTGGGAAAGCCATGTCCAATCCTTATTACAGACGGGATTTCCCCCGGGCTGTTGATGCAAATCCGCGGTGGGCGACATGTTTGCGCACGCTTTCCGGCTCTTCAGAA